ATGTTAAATGTAACTTTAAAAACTTCGACTGTAATAATAGATTACATGCAACAATTCCAGAAGAAGAAATTAATTTAACAAAATTCTTCAAAGAACATTTAAATAACAAAAAGACGTATATTTGCTTTTTATCTCAACAACTAAGACCAATTGTACAAAAAGTAATGGCCCAACATTTTCAAAATTATAAACTAATCGAATGCACAAAATTAATAAATAATGTTGAACCGGAAGAACGAAATATATTAATTAAATATAAACATGAAGGTAAAACTAATCACAGAGGCATAAAAGAAACTTGTAAATTTTTAAAAAATAATTATTACTGCAAATCCTTAAAGTCGGATGTTACAAAATATATTAACGAATGTGAAATTTGCCAGCGAGCAAAATATCAACGAAAACCACCAGATCAACCTTTAATGTTAACTGAAAAACACCCTCTAAACCATTTGAAATTATACACGTCGATACCTTTATTACCGGCGGACAAAAATTCTTAACTATAATTGACAAATTCTCTAAGTTTTGGACAGGCATTGCCCTATTTTGGAACTACGATTTCAGCATGCCAACAATTAGTACATTTCTTTTCATTCTATGGAATATCAAAACAAATTGTTTCTGACAACGGAACAGAATTTAAAAATGACGTTCTAGACTCTTTATTAAAAATACATAAAATTAAAATCCATTTCACAACGCCGAGTCACCACGAATCCAATTCACCTATCGAACGTTTTCACTCAACCCTCATCGAACACTTACGCCTATTGAAGGAAATAGATAAAAATTCCGATATTATTTCACTTATGCCCTATGCGATCATTGCATATAATAGTACTATACACTCAAATACTAATTTTACGCCTTTTGAATTAACACTAGGCCACACTGATACACGTGACCCTATGAACCTAATTCCTTCCCAAATATATTGTGAATACGTAAATAACCATCAAACAAATACTAAGCTTCTTTACGAAAAGGTACATAATGATTCCCTTTAAAAAAAAAACAAAAAACGATCGATAAAATTAACAAAAACAAAACTCCAGTAGAAATAAAAATTGGCGCAACAGTGTATAAGCGCACCGAAAGCCGAAAAGGTAAATTAAACGAAAAATTTTCTGGACCATTCATATTAACAGAAATCCTAGATAATAATAAAATTGAAATAGAAAACCCAAAAACAAATAAAAAAGAAATAACTCACGTTAACGAAACTAAAATAATGAACATTGTTCCAGATGGCTCGCAAACATCGGAGCAAACGAAGTAAAAATCCACAACCTGAACAACTATCCAGGAATCCTTCCTTATAAACTAGGTACCGCAAAAATAACCTCCAACCATTTCTCCTTTATACAAATTTTTGATTTAAACCCAGCTGTTGCTGAATTCTATGTAATCTATAACCAAGTAAAAATATTAATTAGTCAGATTAAAAATAATACTAATTATCTTCACGAATATTCTAATTCAGTCATCCCTCTTGTAACATTAGAAAAACGCATTGAAAATCAAATTAGTCAACTCAATCCATTATCTATAAGAAGTAAAAGAGGCCTATTAAACCAAATTATTAAATGTATTACTGGAAACTTAGACCAATCTGACGCGGAAAAATACGATGTAGAAATCAAACAACTGCAAGAAAACCAAAATAATTTAAGAACCAATTCAATTAATCAAATAAAGCTGTTAGAAAAAACAATGAACTCATTTAAAAATTCGATATCAAATACCAACTTATCCTTAAATCTAAAATATTACAAATTGATCAAGTAATTAAAAAGATAACCATTGAACAAACGAATGACTATGAGTATTTCCAAATACATGCAGCAATGAATCAAATTACCTTTATGTATAATTTAATATATAACATTTTTGAGAAAATTGAAACCGCAATTAGTTTTGCCAAATTAAACACTTTACATAATTCGATAATTGATCCGTCTGATCTATTCGAAGAAATTAAAAACATTAAAAAAGAATTAAAGGAAAATCAACTGCCGTTCGAGTTATCTATCGAAAATATATTAAATTTTGAAAAAATTATAGAAATAAAAAGCTACTCTAGAGGACTAATAATAACATTTATTTTGGAACTACCGCTACTAGAATCAGAAATTTATCAATATTACCAGTTGTATCCGCTACCAGTTAGTGAACTGTGAACAAGAACTGCAATATTACGTTAATATACCGATCAAACCATATCTTGCATTGAGTGGAAATATGTACTCATTTATGGACTCTGAATGTGTAAAGCTACTAAACAATGAGTTCATGTGTAAAAATATACATATTACCTATATGAAGGAACACCCGCCTTGTTCAGTGGAAATAATAACTCACAAGACTAATGTAACAAACCGTAAACCAATTAAAATCCAACTTGAAGAAATAAAAATTTTTAAAATCCAAAATGGAAAATGGATTATTGTGACACCTAAGAAGATAATAGCAACAGTACAATGTAATGACGACATTAATACTGTTCCATTATTTGGATCCCACCTTATCGAATCCTCCCCAATTTGCAAAGTACAAATTGGAAAAACTGAACTAAGAACCTATACCCCTAATCGATTGAGATTTGATGACACTCGTCTACCGGAAGTGAATCTCTCACTACTACATAAACAGAAAACAATCTTCGATCCACCAGAACTCACATTGGACACGATCAACCTAAAGGAAATAAAGGAGCTGCAAATACAAATGGACGAAGCAAAAGAAAACCTTGGAAATTTTGTTATACGTAATAATTATATTAATCTTGATTTATTTATTATATAAATATTTTTTTTTATATTTTGAGATAGTGGTAAAGTATTCAAAAATAAAATATATATATAATATAACTTTAGATATTTTAATGAAATTTGACGCACATGTACTACATATTACTTACAATAAGAAATATTCTTACAATCTCCAAAGAAAGTTTATTTCTTGATTTTTTTAAATCTGGTGTACGGTTTACGCTCAAAAAAATAAAAACTTCTTCTCTTCATGGTTGTAACAATATCGTTAATATGATCATTATTATTTCTTACTTAAGTAATTGTGTATCTGTTTTAATAAAATAATTCAAAAAATCGTACGAATACGAAGTACGTAAACTCTGAGGTGTATTTTTGAAATATTTATGATTATTTCTTATCATTGTAGTAGGCTGTGTCTGTAAGAATTATTAATTCTGTCGTCAAGGCGATTGTTTGACAATTGAATGACATTAGTTTTTAAATTCAGTTCTTCGTGTTTTATTAATTTGAAAGCATTGTTATTTGAAGATAGGCAATTATGTCAAGAGCGCTTTCTCATTAGAATCATTGGACCTCTTCAAATGTAAATTGAAGATTGAAGTAGTTTTAAATTCTTTTGAAGAAAATCCTGAACTTGGTACTAGAAAAATTGGAAATCTGAGTATCTCGCACGTTTAGGTTTGGAAAATTTTGCACCATTTTCTATTGTATCCATATCATATACAACGAATCCAAACGTTGCTTCCCAGAAATTTTCGACAATAATTTTTGGACAAAATTCCTTATTATCCTTTGTTTTGGACCACGATATACTATTTATAGATGAAGCTAACTTTTCCAGAAATGTAATCACAAATTTCCGCAATAACCATATTTGGTTCGATGAAATCCCCCATTCAGTTGTACAATTTAAACATCAAGAACAGCTTTCGGTAAATATTTGGGCTGGAATTGCTAGAAATTAGTTAATTGGACGTTTTTGCCTGCTATAAAGGCTAAATGGTCATAATTAGTACCATATTTATTTAGGAACAGAATGTGGTTCATGTATGGCTGCTCACTTTAGTGTTGCAGTAAGAGAATATTTAAATCACACATTTAATAACCGCTGGGTAGGTCGCGGCGGACCTCAACCATGGCCCCCTAGGCCCCCAGATTTAAATAGTTTGGACTTTTTCTTAGGAAGTCACTTTAAAAGTCCTCAGTTAACACTGTAGAAGAGCTGACGGATGGTATAAGAGCTTCCTGCGATTTAATAAGAAATACTGAAGGTAGACTTCAAATAGTGCGCGGCAATATGAGGAAAAGGGCTGAAGTGGGAGGAAACTCTCAACAACTTATCTAGTTTCTGTTCTATTTTTTTTTCAATTTTTTTTAATTAATTTATTAACAATATTGTTAAAAATTATTAATAGTAGGTAGTGTTGTTTTTTAAATAAGAATCGTGTATCATTGTTGTTAGGATGTTATGTTATTTCATTAAAACTGTAAGTAAAAAAAATAGTCCTCTTGTTTTTTTTTTCTGAAGGACACTAGTCTATACACTAACTAACTTAATATTTTGTTTTAGATAGATATTTCATTTTTCCAATAAAACAAAGTTCTCGATTTAACCAGTGCAGTGGCGACCTAATTAACGAAAATATTATTTGTGCATAGACAGTCAGTGGCACGCCACTGAGTTCCTTAAAAAGAATAATGACACTTTCATTCATTTATGAGAAGATTTGATCTTTTATTTTTTTTTAGTCCGTGGTACGGGTTCCACTTAAAAATAAAAACTAATTTCGCTGCATGCTGTCAAATTAGCGATATTATTATGACCATGCAGAGAAGAGGTTTTTATTTTTCAAAGCGAAAACCGTATATTGGATTGGAAAAAAATCAAGAAATTAAATTTCTTTATGTATCTTTTATCCAAATGTTTATATACATTATTTAAATTTTAAAAAATTCTAGTCTGATCCACCATGACTCTGTTCAGAACTTTGGAAAGTGAACGTCAAATCGAAATACGCTAAAATTGCTGGAATTATCGACTTTGGGAAGCGCAATTATAATTGCTTCTTTCCGCAGTGGTGATTGTTGGTAATTTTATCGTCCGTTCGACTATGGCATTTACAAAACTCAATCAGATTTTCGACCCGGCAAATTTGGTGCTTGTAGCGGTTTCTCCTTCGGACGGATAATATTTTTACATTAGGAATGATTATTGTTTTGCAGGGCTGAGGTTTGGAATAATGGAGGTGAAACTGGGTCTCGCTATGATACTGGACAAGTTTGAGGTTTGCACCGGCCCTTTGACGAAAATTCCGGTGACATTGGATCCGAACACAATGCTGTTAAGTTCCGTGGAGAGGGTGTACATCAGATTAAAGACGATCTAATGGAGTAACTTGATTGCGGTCGTTTATATTTCCTTTCTTCCTTCCTTCCTTTCTTGAATTGGTTGTTAATTCATCTTAGCTCAAACTTTATTTTCAAAAAAATGATATTATTTAAATATCATAGACGCGCGACCTGGCGACGGGCATTCACCATTTCATAGAAAATCGGTATATATGTTCTAAAATATTCTTCAGATTCATATTCAGATAAGAATATTCCATTTTTAATGCAACTTTTTTTTCTTTGTAGTATATATCCGAAAAATACGTTGGCTTACATCTAATATTTTTTTAGAAACGGTTTTTTAGATAGGTTCCGGTCTATGAGCAGCGATTGAGTTGATACCACTAACGGATAATCACAAAAAAGCTATTTCATCAAACTTAGAATAAAACAACTTGAAGATTAGGCAATTAGGAAATTAGGAAAATAGGCAAAAAACCTATTTTAGGGAAACACAATATATTTTTTTAGATGCGTTCCGGTCTATGTGCAGTGATTGTGTAGATGCCACTAACGTATAATCAAAAAAGGGATTTTTGGTCAAAATTAGAATAAAGCAACTTGGGGATTAGGGTTGAAATAGGCAAAAAAACCCTATTTTGGGAAACACAATATATTTTTTTTAGGTACGTTCCGGTCTATGTGCAGTGATTGTGTTGATACCACTAACGTATAATTATAAAAGAAATTTTTCGTCAAAATTTGAATGAAGCAACTAGGGAATTAGGGGTTGAAATAAACAAAAAGCGGATTTTGTGGAAACGTAAAATATATTTTTTAAATAGGTTCCTGTCTATGTGCAGCGATTGTGTTGATACCACTAACGTATAAGTTGCTCTGTTTAAATTTTGACGAAAAATCCCTTTTGTGATTATACATTACTGGTATCAACTCAATCTCTGCACATAGACCGGAACGTATTTAAAAAAAAATATATTGTGTTTCCCCAAAATCGGTTTTTTGCCTATTTCAACCCCTCATCCCCAAATTGCTTTATTCAAAGTTTGTTGAAATATCCCTTTTGTGATTATACGTTAGTGGTATCAACATAATCACTGCACATAGACCGGAACGTATGTAAAATAAATAATTTCTGTTTCGTCAAAATCCGTTTTTTGCTTATTTCAACCCCTAATGCCCAAGTTGCTTTATTCAAATTTTGATGAAATATCCCTTTTGTGATTATACGGTAGTGGTATCAACATAATCACTGCCCATAGACCGGAACGTATGTAAAAAAATAATTTCTATTTCGTCAAAATCCGTTTTTTGCTTATTTCAACCCCTAATCCCCAAGTTGCTTTATCCAAATTTTGATGAAATATCCCTTTTGTGATTATATGTTAGTAGTATCAACATAATCACTGCACATAGACCGGAATGTATGTAAAAAAAATAATTTCTGTTTCATCATAATCCGTTTTTTGCTTATTTCAACCCCTAATCCCAAGTTGCTTTATTCAAATTTTAATGAAATATCCATTTTGTGATTATACGTTAACGTACCTAAAAAAATTAATTCCTGTGTCCTCAAAATCTGTTTTTTTCTTATTTCAACCCCTAATCCCCAAATTGCTTTACTCAATTTTTGAGAAAAAATCTCTTTTGTGATTAGTGGTACCAACACAACCGCTGCATATAGACCGGAACGTATCTAAAAAAAAATATATTGTGTTTCCACAAAATAGTTTTTTTTGCATATTTCAACCCCTAACCCCAAGTTGCTTTATTCTAATTTTGACGAAAAATCCTTTTTGTGATTATACGTTAGTGGTATCAACATAGTCACTGCACATAGACCGGAACGCATGTAAAAAAAATAATTTTTGTTTGGTCAAAAACCGGTTTTTACTTATTTCAACCCCTAATTCCCTAGTTGCTTCATTCAAATTTTGACGAAAAATCCATTTTATAATTATACGTTAGTGGTATCAACACAATCGCTGTACACAGACCGGAACCTAACTAAAAAAAATATTTTCTATTTTTTGAAAAAAATATTGGATGTAAGCCAAAGTTTTTTTTTAAGATATACTACAAAGAAGTAGCCTTAAAAATGTAATATTCTTATCTGAATATGAATCTGAAGAATATTTTAGAACGTATATACCGTTTTTCTATAAAAAGGTAAGTGCCCTTCGCCAGGCCTCGCGTCTACGACGTAAGCAGCAAGCACGGCAGAGGTCGGGCGGAGCTAGTGGTTGGAGTAGGGGTAGAAAGGAATCGCTCTGCGAGGAACGCGAGCGACAACTTCACACCGGTTAGAAACCTCGGCAATCAATTGATACAGCTACTAGACATATAGAGGCCCTGCCTATGCCGTCAGTATAGGAACTCATGAGGCAACCATATAGCTATCAGATAATATAGTGGCCCTACTACGGTAAAAAGTGATGCGCCGCAGGTGGCTATGATATTCTCGTAGAGGTGTGGATCTATTACGCATGCGTCACCCCCATATAACTGAGTTGTCACATTGCCGTAATTTTTCTGAAAAAATTGACTAATTTTCACAAGAACGCAAAATCAGTGTCTGATATCCGAATACAATTGGCAATTGCTATAGGGGTCTGTGTGTTTGTTTACATTTTTGGTGGTTTTGATTGTCTCCCGTACCTTTTTCGTGTTTTTGGGAAAAACTCGGTGTGATTATGGTCAAAACTGTAAAGAAAAGAATGTGCCTATATACGGGTAAGTGTGCCTTATGTACAAGTTAATTTAAAAGATTTAAAAGTAGTTTCTATGGGACTCCCACTCACAAACTTGTATAATTTGTGCTTTAAATACTTGCTCCTTCACGAAATTACAAGTATAGTAAGTATGTGGACCTAATAGGATGTTAGACAAACCCGAGTGATTTAATAAAGTGAAAGGTACACTTAAATAGCTACATAGGAAAGATGTTTGGGTAATATGTTTTAGCGTACAAGAATTACATGAAATATAAGAAAACAATTAAGCTGCAAGTTGTATTACAACAATCACAAGAAATACCTCTTTATAATTACAAATCCTTGTAAACCTCATTACTTTTTGGTTGGTCAAAAATTACAGAAATTATTACTGCAGAAAGTGGTAAATTACCAGAATCAGTTCATCTGCAACAGGAAGAATTGAAACTATAAATCTGCCGGATATTTTTGCGAAGTCTGAAGGCATTACAGGAAATTTTTGAGAATTACCAGGAGTTCTAGGCAACTATTCAAAATTATGGGATACTTCGATTGTAGGTCACCTACCTCCTTAGGCAGGTAAGTGAATATTGCAGTACTTACACACACAATTTGACATTGATTAAATAGAAATAGTTTTATCAATAAATACTGATTTTGGAAATTTGCTTGTTGGATTCGGGACAACTTGTGTAGGAAAAATATTATATGCACAACAACCCTTGCTTGGCACGAGAGTAAGCTATTTCCTTGACTCATAAATATCACCTACCTCCTTTGTGTGAATAACTATTTAGTACAAATAGTAAGGAAATAATAAATAACATTCCTTATCATGAATGAAGCTGTCAGGGAGGCTGATAGCTTTAGAAGAGCATCCATATATGCGGGCCACATAAGCTATAGAAGAGGTGGTAAACACTAGATAAAGTAGGTAGATATTGTGATCAGTTGTAAATCGCGGACTTGCTTTCTGGTCATTCTATTTGCTGATGGTGGTACTCAACAGCCCATATTTAGAGTACTAAATGGTACCTTTTTTTCTAACCCGACTAATAAAATTTATCAAATAATTGCACATTCCTGAAAAATATTATCTTGTTGGTAAAATGTTACCAACTTATTGATATTGATATTTTTTCTGCTGAATTTGTGACTGAAAATTTTGCATCTTGAACATAAGAGAGATTTTTGTTGATAGGAGGGCGTTTTTGGTCTTTATTTCCAAACAAGTCAAAATAATAATTTCTTTTTTAGGTAAAACTAGAGTAGACACCAGCAAATCTTTAATCTTCAGTGGTAGTAAAAACAACATTACAAGTTATAGAGAAGCCAGGCACAGAATTACCAGCGATCATAAGTTTTTAGAAAGAACTTAAGGCATAGTAACATTTTGTCAACAAGTAAAGTGCTTCTGATCTAAATTTTGTTTTGAATTTACAGTTACTGATATTTTTTTTTTACTTTTTTTAGTTATTTTACTAATAATTAACAATAGTTTAATTTATTATAAATGAACATTTTTTTGTATTGCTTTCAACTTCTTTTTTGCAATTTTCAATCCTCTCAAATCAAGTAATATAAAAGTTTCTTGAAAATAGTAACACTGAAGCATCTTATGTCAGACGCCATTGTGCAAATAAAAAATAAATATTATTATGTTCCTAAAAATGGCAGCATATATTTTTATTTAATATCTTATTGTGTTTATAAGTAACAATGTACTTTATTCTTTTCAATAAAGGCCTTATTAAATAATTCATGTATTTATTCATTTAGATTTTTACATTGTGTTCATTCTCCAATGTGCCACTATATCTTCTGTGAACTTCAAAATGAGTTAATAAAACACTATATAAAATGCTATTATAATTAAGGGTAAGTCGTAGTTGTAACATAGACCACAATCTTGCCTACAAAACCAGACTGGAGTGTGCATCTGGAAAAAAATATTTCTTAATAGGACATCTTCCTTTTAGAATGTTCCATGTGAGCTTACACTTTTAAAAAATCCCGAGCATTTCTGGAAAAGTAACTTTTGGTTAATTACATTTAAATCCAGATTGCAATAAAATATCGCTAAATGCAATTTGTACATGTATTTTTAGCATTTAACAATTGTTGTTAAATATGTTTAGCGGGGATTTTTTTGCGGTAGCCACCATGCAATTTTTGCTAGGTTAAACCAATAAGTTTAATAAAAACAAATGGTGCAAATAGCACTTAAAAAACCAAAACGCTAAAATACTTACAGAATTATACTAAGGACGCCGATCCGTGTGCTGTAATTTAGCATATTAACTCTGCACTTGTCGCTAATGTTTTTAACAACGCTTTCTACACCTTAATTCCCTTTTTGCCTGAAAATTTAATGAGAATTCGACATATTTTGAGAAAATACTGCGGTAAAAATGCAGCATCCAAACATTGACGACCAGCCAGCGGCCATGTTGGTTATTGGAAGCCGCAAGTCCTTATGGGTCGGACGTCAAAAAAAGCAATTAGAGCTGCCATTGGTTAAAAACGAAATTTCAAATCTCGTGCATGCCCATATTGAACAGACCTCAAATTTTTGTTACATAGTTGCTTCACAAGTTCCTGTACTAGGCATGGAAGCAAATATGCAAATTTTTTTTGACAAGCTCCATTCAACCTGCACATGCGCGAGATTTAAAATTTCGTTTTTAACCAAGACCTTGCGGCTTTCAACAAACAACATGGCCGCTGACAGATCGTCCATGTGTGGATGCTGCATTTTTACATCATTATTATCTCAAAATATATCGAAATCCTAAGTCAAAGACGGAGTTAAGGTGTGGAAAAGCAATTCAGAATTGTAGCACCCGGGGTAAATATAATTCTATAATTAATTGGGCGTCTTTGTTTGTTCGTTCGTTCGCAAAGCGTTAGTTTTCATATACTCATAGGTTGAAATAACTTTGAGATGCTAGATAATCGCACATTAAGAAACATCTAAGTGGAAAATATGTTCAACAAGTACCTCCTATAGACAGTAGTTGACAATGGGTATTTCCTATGCTTGTTCTAGCAAAAATTCAACTTGTAGATTAATTGGTTTCTTGTATTTTCTGTAATTCTTGTACAATAAAACCTATTACTCGAATATTCTTCGTAACTATTTAAGTGTACCTAAAAATGTAGGGAATTCTGTTTAGTAAATTCACATGTCAATATTTGTGTAAGTTTATTTTCCAGTTTGATAAATATCCTATTTTCCTATATTTGCCACATTTGCTGTAATTTCGTAAAAGAACAAAGTACAAATTATACAAGTTTGTGTGTGAGTACGGTACGGAGATATTGACACCAAAAATGAAAACAGCAATGGCATAGGACAATGACAATAGTAATTATTTATCACGGCGTTGCCAATTATGTTCGGATTTCAGAGATTGATGTTGCGGTCTTATAAAAATTAATCAATTTTACAGAAAAATTACGGTAATGTAGCAACTCAACCAGTTGGGGGAGACGCATGCGCAAAAGATCCATACCTTCTCTACGATAATATCATAGCTACCTGCGGTACATCAATTTTTACCGTAGTAGGGCCACTATATTACATATAATCATCAATCTGTGTTAGTATGTACAGTATTGTCAGAAATAAATAAGGTAACTATTTTAGATATTTAATAAATCCTTTTTCCAATGCCTACCTTCATGAAAATTTTTAAAAAATAACCTCATACTGTTATACATTTTTGAGAAGCTCATACCAAGCGGAATCAAATTGCTCTGTAAGATATGGGATGTTTTATTAAAAAAAAACTTTTTCGTTCAAAGAGACGAAACCACTTAGAAAAAAAACTTACTATGCCACCGAATGCTACTTAAAAATATATATCGGGTGTGCTTTTCACCTTTTCGACTTTTCATGTGATACCCGAAATACGAACAGTGCCCCAAAACTTAAAATTTAAACAATCATTCTGTATTTTAAAATGAAAATTTTGTGAACGTCTCCTTTCGTTTTACAAAAAGTAATTAAAATGAATTCACCAAAACGGCACCACCTATATATAAACTGTATAAACTGATTGAGCAGTGCATCACCTCCTTAGTCTGTGGTTTAATTTTGGTGGCAATACCTGGATCAGTAGCGTCACAACACAATTTTATATGGGGCAGTCAAAGTATGGGAAAAAAATACATAATCTCAATTTCTGCCTAAACGAGCATAAATTTTGTGGACCGTATTTTTCCAAAATATGCCCGGATCTCATTAAATGTTCAGGATAAACTATTTAAGTGTAAGGAGATTGTAATTTAGTAAGAAAATGGAGTAAAATTTAGAGGTATGCATTCCCATCTCTACGAAAATATCATAGCTGCCGGAGATTATCTAATAGCTAAATATTATAAGTCTCTCCTGTGATTAAGAAGTGTCTAGTCGTGTGGGTACTGCTTTCTATTGCTCAGCGCGGGCGGATCGTTGTACCTCACGTTTTGCGCCTCCTTGGTGCTCCATAATATCGTTTTCATGAGCCGAGCAGTTCGTTCGAAAATATGTCACTATCGATTTTGCTCTTCGATTTGCCGATAGCAAGGACTGTTACAAGATTTTGTTTAAATGTTTTTTATTAAAGCCTTTCTTTTGTTTTTGGGATCGTCGACTTCAAGTTATTGCGAATTTAAAAGTTTATCAAAAGACTGAGCCTTGACCCACTTAGGTATTTTCCAAAAACGGATTCGCGATTGTTATTTTCGCAAAAGCAAACAGATTAACGGCCTGAGTTTTGTTCAAATAAAACCTAGTTTTCTTGACACGCTCACTGTGTATGCTGTATGTCACTCTGAATCTCAGTTGCGTTTGAAAATTATTTGATCATTCTCAGTCTTAGGTTTCACAATTACGGGGGCGTACCACGGTGATCGTTTGGAAAGAAAGTAAAAGGTAAGCACGCCTTTACCATTAAAGCTGACTAATTTTTGTTTAAAATTTGTGAAAATATAACTGATTTATCTTGGAATCCCGTATTATCTCTTGCACATTACCACTCAGCAGTAAAATGGTAAATTTTAACTATATCAGCTAAATGACATGCAACCGCTGGGTTGCCAAACTGCCATATTTATTCGTTATATAATTTATTCGATATACCAAAAAGCCTCAAAGAAATCTGCCTTAAAGGCTTCTGAAAATAAACGAAATAATTCCTGATGCTCCGCACAGTCGGCATTTCCAGGTCCGCTTATCTTTTAGGTAAAAGACATTGTTGTGTGTACAACCTACTACTTTTAAATAGACGCCTCCTTGCTAGCCTCACCTCATAAAAGCTGAAGTATGCAAAATTGAATTTTAAATATAACTTAAAACTTAGTTCTTGAAGGGTCCAATTTTCCAACATCATGGCCTGATCATTTAAAACTGCCGATATCGGCAATATTAAATATACCTAGGAACACGACCTAAGGAATGATTTGGCAACAAGGATCGAAAAATATAACGAACCATGGTTGCGGCAACTAATAATTTTGGTTATGTATGATTTCTTTTTTGTTAAGGTTACATTAATTGCGAATTGTTTCATTATTTAAATGAAAAAAATGCGTTTGCTCCAATGCAGTTTTAAGATACAAAAGAAAAACAGGCTTAAATCTTGGATGGATGTCAGTAATGGGCGACTATCCACGTTATATGTGCTCACTTTAAAAACAAAGAAACAGTTATTCTGTGAAATTAGTTCAAATGTTCCGGCTGAACATATGATTGGTGACTAGTTTAAATTCAAAGAAACTTGGCTCTGCTTTAATCATATTTTAACTTATGCAACTTTGTCGACGTAGAGATAAAGTGCATAAAATTATGTTAGGCGTATTATTTATTTAAAGGCATTGTTAATGGTGCGCTTTGATCCTAAAAACTGGCCCATCTCTGATTTTCGCAACAAAGGTAAAAATCATTCCATCAATTATAACCAGACAAAGTATATTTGCTTTAATATCGGAGATTACAAACAAGCGTTGTTTGTTCCCCAATTTGATAAGATTTATTACAAACAAACACACATTAATGGGAGTTTCATATTGGGAGAGTTATTTGTGTCTATAAGCGAATTAATTGAATCAAATTTACAAGGTAGCAAAAATTCGATGGTTTCGTTTATTTTTCATGACTAAAATTTTCTAGATGTCTCGAAAGGAAAGCCCCGGTCCTAACGGCAACATCAACAACGGTTACAGCCCGAATCTTTCTGAAGGCGCCGGAGACCCGGGTGAGGTGCCAACTGAATCTACATTATTAGCGCCAAATCAAAGCTATTTTGCTGATGAACGAATACCGATACCGGAAGTATCCCATGTAAGTGTCGCGTATGAAAATAAATCGGGCCTAAGGTTATCAATTTTAGTCTGGGTTTAGCTTCAAAAAACTATGGGCCTTTACTGGCCCCGGGTTTCTGATGTCCATAGCTTATTTAGACCCGGGAAATATAGAAAGTGATCTTCGGAGTGGCAACGTGGCGCAATATAAATTGTTATGGGTACTTCTGTGGGCAACATTTTTGGGGTTATTGATGCAAAGGTTATCGGCACGGCTAGGAGTCGTCACTGGTCTTCATCTGGCCGAAATGTGCCACAGACAATATAAGAAGGTTCCACGAATAATTCTGTGGTTGATGATTGAAATTGCCATAATTGGGTCTGACATGCAAGAAGTCATCGGCACAGCGGTTGCTATTTATCTTCTCTCCGCGCAGAAGTGGGCCTCCAGCTTAAGTATACAGGGTGTCCCACTGAAAATTTCGGCGATATATTATGGGAAAACTATAAATAGCAAAAATTTTAAAATTTTGGATTAATCTAATGGCAGATATCCCAGACATGGGTACCAACTTTCTTATTTGGAATGGAACACCCTATATATTAATGCTTTTACGTATGGGAAAAATGTACAAATATTGCTACTGAGTCTTTCAGGGTAGGTATTTTTCTAGTAGCTTTGAAGAATGCTATATAAGGGCAATATATAAAAAGAATGATAAAGAGGGGATAGACAGGCTTGCTGTCAGTTTTTTTCAAGAATTTATGAAAGAACTAGGCATATTGTTTCTAAGAAAGTTCAATAACTTCCTTGAGGTCCAGTTTGACTTCCAAAAAGTTAAATCTACATAAATATAGTATATTTCTCCATTCAGAAGCTGTATGAAAAGTATAAAATTACTAGCTGGTGAAACTTATCTTAAATGTGGACTGAAGCCTTAGGATTGACTAACCTCATATTTGGAGGGACAGTTGCAGAAAGTGACTCTAAGAGAGGGATGCCATTAAGTTGACTCAGTGTGTGTGTTAAAAGGGGTGGGTGTACCACAGAGTAGCGTCTTGGAGCCGCTCCTAATCTTTGTTGATAAGGAAAAACAGTCCATTGGCAATATTTGAATTTGAACACTAGAATTTTCTGGAAATCCAATAACCATAACGTATGGACCTTTCCCTTTAAAATAAGAAAGTTGACGCCCTTCCCCGGTATATCCCGTTGTATCGCCATTTTGATTGGGCCTGCCAACGTTAGTTTAATTGAAAATTTTGAAATTTTCGCTACTTACAGTTTTCTCATACCATATCGACGAATTTCCCGGTGAGGCGCCCTGCATGTTTATTGTTAAAAATGGTGACTTGTAGGATACCAATTTGGGGTGGAGTTATTATAACAATCATCGACACTTTTACGTTTTTATTGTTCGACAAGTACGGATTGAGAAGGTTGGAATCGTTTTTCGGGCTCTTAATTACAATCATGGGCGTGACGTTTGGTTTTGAATACGTCAGATCTAAACCTAACGCCATAGGAGTCGTCCAAGGTCTGTTTGTACCGTGGTGCGAAGGTTGCGACACCAGAGCTCTAGTGCAGGCAGTTGGAATTATAGGTATTGTTGTAGAAATTCTACGAAAGCGTTTATGTCAGAATTTTTGACAAATAAGTCAGAAATTTTGCAAAATGAGTCAAAATATCTGACTTAATTCTCTTGTAAAGGACAGTGCCAATCGAAACATCAGATTTACAGGTGTTTTGATTGTCCCTCTCCCTTAGGAGAGACTTATGTCATATATTCAGACGTATTAGTTATAAATTTTGACCTAATTCAGAAATTCTGAATTAATTTCCACAGATTTCATGTTGTTTTTCAGAAATTCTGATTTATTTCCGAAAAATTCACATAATTAAACTTAAACCTTATTTTTGGTTGCCTTTCGGCGCCTTTGTAGGATTTTTAAATTTTATTTTTAACTTAATTTAAGTTTACCCATAGAGCTAAATCTTCTATAACAAACAACGTAATGTCGGAAAAGGAAGAAAAAGAAAATTAGGGTCTGGCCTGCCTGTGACCATGGCTGCAGATTTTTTAGTAGTCCGTACTAGCACATTCAAGTTTGAAATGGCGCTAAAAGTGTTTTATATTGGTACTTTCTAGCAATGATTTTTGTAAATGACTTAAAATTTATGTTCTCAATTTTGTTTATGTTATCAAGTAATGACTTTTGGTTAAAATTAGAAAAAACATTTGACACCGGTATTATACGTAATCTCTTGTAAAAGTAATTTAAAAAAACTCTGTACTAAGTAATTTTGACTATAGAGAGTAACTGAGATAGAAAAAAGGTGGAAATGGAGAAAGTTCTACGGAATTCTATTTTTTGCAATTTGATGCAGCTAAACTTATTATTTATGCCATTTTATTACGTTTGGCGTTGTTGGCGATTTTGTATGCCCTGTTTTAAGATGTCATTAGAAAGCTTCATATTTTTGGTACTTTTCATAACGTGGAGTGCGATACTTCATTGGTTTTTGGATATCAGAAGCTTTTAAAATTCGGATCCGAATCGAAACGTTCTGAACAACCAAAAGAGATTAAATCGCAAGCGGAAATACGATTTTCTAAAAATTTTATTTGTTTTAACCAGGAAATTATACATGGGGTTATATCAGACAGTCCTTTCTTATCCAAAAATATTTCGCGACGACTTCAAAATATGCGGTCATAACACATAATCAAATTTTCAAAGATACTTTTGCAAAAATTTGAGGGTTTAGTAGTAGTATTTTATTTAATTCTATTTACAAATCTTCTGTATCCTTCCTGCGTCGGTCGTTGATCAATCGAACTTGCTGACGTTTCACCAATCATCCTTTTAGCTACTTCAGAGCTTAACTGAAACTGACTTGACATATTGGTGACAGGTAAAGACCTGAGTCGCGGTTAAGATTGTTTGGTTGCTTATAGAATTCTCTAGATTTTCGGATTTTTCGTTGGTAGAAGAATTGATTAGATGCAAGAATTTTCAAATAATTCTTCCACTAGTGAAAAATCCGAAAATCTGGAGAAATCTATAAGCAACCAAACAATCTTAAGCGCGACTCGGGTCTTTACCTTTCACCAATCTGGGAATCAGTCAACCGAGACAATGTTGCTCCGCCCCCCTCTAACAATATATAAGCACTGAAGAATCCAACAAGATTATTGGCGAAACGTCAGCAAGTTTGATTCGTCAACAACGACGCATGAGGAAAGCAGAAGATTTGTAAATAGCATTACTGTAGCCTGGGAATTGTTTCTTTGAAAAATTTTATTTAACTATTGTAACAAATTGGCGCTTCCAAATTATCATGAAAACAGTTATTACTTTTGACAGTAGTATCAAAAGCTTATAAAAGTATCTGTGGGACCACTTGAAAAGTTTCCGATCTAACAATGATGCAACATATTTTTTCGCATTTTTTGCCTCCTCATTTGACGAAAATCTTTGTCCTCCGAGCGCAGTTTTCAGACGAAGGAACAAAAAGAAGGAGTAGCTTGGGGCTAGATCTGGTGAGTAAGGCGGATGGTCAAGCAGTTCAAACTGCAATTCGTGGGTTTTCGCCATTGAAACCGCTGAGGTATATCTTGGTCAAACAGGATTTTTTTTACAAATGTGACCGTTTTTTCGCAATTTCTGCCCTCAGCTTGTCAAGTAATGATGTATGGGTTTTCCTTTATGATTAAGATGAGTTCATGGCTATTCCAAAAAAAGTCATCTTCATTTTCCCAGCCAGTTTTTGCTTTTTTTAGAGCCGGTTTCCAATTCTTCGGACATTTTCATAATCTCTGCTATCTCTCTCACTTTAATTCAAGGGTCGTTTAACACGATTTGATAAACTTTAGCAATATTATCGTCGATAGTTTACAGTTTTTGGACGTCCCGAACGTTGATCATCTCCTATGCTCTTATGGCCACGTTTCCGTTCACCTGCCGAAAATTTGACTGTGGTAAATGACGGTTCAGGGTCCCCATACACAGAGTTTAACTCAATTTTAATTTGCGTAGGCGTATTGCAATTTTTTCCATTTTCACGAAAACACTCACATAGGCTCCCTGAAATTACTGTCAACTAAAAACCGTCCAAAATGGCTGAAAATTTGGTAAGTAAGATCTTCAAGGGAGGTCGAAAACTTTTCAAGTGACCCTCGTATTAAATACGAAAAGTTCGGGATTATGAAGAGGCGAGTAGTAATTGACTCCCGAAAAACAAAAACAAAAAGTTTTTTTGTTTTCGAGTTGTATGTCTGCTTTTTAGGTGCCGTCATAATGCCGCATAACCTGTACTTGCATTCGGCCCTCGTAAAATCGCGCGACATTGACAGGACGAAAAAGGACCAAGTGCGCGACGCTAACCGCTACTTTTTCATCGAAGCTTGCATCGCCCTACTTGTCAGTTTCGTCATTAATATATTCGTCGTGGCCGTCTTTGCTCACGGACTCTTTGAACAAACCAACGCGGATATCGTGAGTATTGACGGTCGATATGTGAAAGAGTGATACTAGTTTTACACCGACAATTTCTTCATGAAGTAATTTATGACGTTGGTCGACGAACAAATTTGACAAGTATTATACACTATCAAATTCTCGTGAAACAAATTCAACAAGTTCTTTATTTATTCACAAATTTTGGAAAACTCTGAAGTATTTAAATATATGCCGCAATGTAAGTTGTTGATCTACTGGCAGTGCGCAGGACTTTAGCAATTTATTTCTTAGGATGCATCAACTTAATGGTAATTGTCATAATATTGTCTCGTTAATAAAACAGAACTATAGCAATCAATCATAATGTCACTATGCTGCGACTTTTAATTTTCATTCTGTACACCACTTCGAGAGGTGGAGAAAATTTTACTTGGTCTCAAAAACCGCGCCACCGAGTCCACATATCACTTTTATTATAAAAATAATGATAAAAATGGAGATACTGTTTGGTTCTTTTGGACTATAGTAAAGCTTTTGACACTGTAAACCATAAAACTTTGTATACAAAGCTTAAGTATTTGGATTTCAGTGTGTTGTGTTAGCTAATGGAGCTTCACAGTTCGTACCCGTAACTCAAGGCGTTGCTCAGGATAACATATCGGGACCTATTCTTTTGTCTTTATACATCTTTGACTTTTCGAAATTCATTAAACACTGTTCAACACATCAATACTCTGATGATACTCAATTATATATTTCCTTCAAACGACAACTTAATGGGGATCTTTCGGTGATTAGTAAAATTTCCACGGCTCATAGATTAATACTTATTAACTAGAAAACGAAGTTGATTAGTTTTGGACGGAATATAGTTGAGCTTGGTAATCTTGCTAATTTCAAAATAAAACTCAATGGGAGTGATGTTAGTCCTATTAGAGTGGCTAAAAATTAAGGGTTAAGCATTAATTATGATCTAAGCTTTTTAAAGCATGTATCCGATATTCTGAAAAAGTGCTGAGACTGAAACTTTTATATATGGTATATAAAAATATGTAAAATGTCTGTTTGAGATTTACATACACTTCGCGGGAATATGATCATGTCAGTTCTCCCTATGCAGATTCTTAATGGTTCAAAATCCAAGAGAGGTTCGAAATTCATTTCTGTTGTTTCTGTTGCTTTGTATCAGAAACTTATAACCAGTGCATGTATGCATAAAAGCAAACTAGTCATTGCAAGCTACTCAACATTGCTTTTCTTATCAGCCCTTAAACTTCTTAATAAACTCCAACATGGCTCAATATTTTTGTTCGGTCGTTTTTTTTTTTTTTTTTTCGCAAAAATCAGATGTCTCGAGTGGTTCTATGAACAACTATGTGGAATACCACCATCCTTGATAATTGTTCTTCTGACTGTTCTCTTAGAATAGACATTATTATTATTATTAAATAGAGCTTGTTCTAATTTTCATAAATTTTTGCTTAACTGAAACTTCTTATTCTTTTTATTCCTACGTTAAGTCCAATGACTTGTGTTTACTGGATAATATTTAATCTTATTGGTGATTCTGATGACTAGCTATCTTGCCATCTTTTTTGTGGTCTTCCTCTTGATCTTTTCCCTTCGGGTTTTCCATCTCTTGTGATCTTTGCTAATCTGTGCTCTTCCATTCTCGTTATGTGTTGATTCCAATTTCTTCTTCTCTCTCGTCCCCATCTTACTCTATCTTGAATATTACATTGTTGCCGGATATCTTAATCTTAATCCTAATTAATAATATTTTTATTTCAGTTGTTCTTAGCGCTTGTTTTGTTTTCTTTGTATCGGGTCTTGTTTCTATGGCATACGTAAGTATATCTGTGTTGAGGTTTGTGTTGGAAGAACATGTTGTTAATTCTTAGTTCGTTGTGTACACATAATTCTATTACCATTTCACCTCGGTCGTTATCTTCATTAAATTTTTCTTTTACTGTGAGGGGACGGTACTAAAAGATTCCCATATATCAGTGAAAGGTAGACTTGAATCGCGGTAAGATTGTTTCGTTGTCTATGAAAGTTCCTTAAAAAAAAAAAAACAGTTCAAAAGTTTTATATTTTCAAATATGTGAAAATTACAATGTCAAGGTGTTACACATTCATTAACAAAATGTTCTTTAAATTCTTCCCGAACTGACAGACAAGAGGCTTTTCCTCAGTTACCACGTTGCTGTGTTAAACCATATTTACAAATATAATTTCTTAAAAAATTATGAATAACATAACAGAACATTATATCTTTAACTTTTTGAAAATTTATATTAATAGTTAAGAAAATTCTGCAGCGATTAGCAAGTTGTCCAAAAGTATTTTCTACAACTCGCTTTGCCCTGCTTAATTGTTAAATCTCTCTTCTCTAGTCATATTTCTAAATGGATAAGACTTCAAAATGTGTTGAGTGAGTGGAAAAGATGCATCAGTTAATGTAACATGAGGGCCTGATTTGGAAAACTTCAAGTAAGTTAAGGTTATTATGTGCTAAAGCTTTTGCCTAAAAACTCGACCATCAGTTATAGTTAGCGTCACTAACGCTAGAATCACCTTTATAATTATAGTATAGAGATCCATCAACGCGAAATACCCATACAAGGCACCTATAACATTGGGAATGTTCCTTTTTTTTTTTTCAAGATTCAGTGCTCTATTAAGCCATTTTACACCTCTGTCATTTTGAGATGTCAAATAATTGACCTTCCCAGTTTAAAGCCAGTGCGCGTAGCTAACAATTTTATGAAGAAGTTCATAAATTACTTTATGAATTTATTGTCCGTGTAAAACTATTGTTTAAAGAATTTGAAGCATGTTAATTTGATGGCAACAACTCTCCAATTTTATTTCTTTGTAGCACGCAAAATGTTTAAACCAGCCTTCCATAAATGCGTCAGTGTTTCCCGACACTGGCCCCGAGAGTGAAAAATACGTAGACGCGGACTTGTACAAAGGAGGAATATTTTTGGGCTGTACTTACGGCCTCGTAGCGATGTACGTTTGGGCGCTGGGTATACTGGCCGCCGGGCAAAGCTCAACCATGACGGGTAGGATCCCCAATTGCAACTAACCTCGTTCTTCCAAGATTTCGTTCTTTTTTTAAATAATTAATTTAGATTCGATGAAACTGGAATAGCTGGTACGTTAAATAACCACTTCTTTTTCAAATGTAACCGTTTCGTGCTGTACAGGGTGTTTAAAAATGATTGGGACCAAGAACAGATGGCCGCCACCTGCACACAATTTTTTTTAAATAACATTAATTTTTTTTGTATATTCTCAAATTTAATTTCTTATAAGACATGGTCATTTTCTAGTATTTTCTAAGTGAAAAAGGCGTTATTGTTTAATAAGCCGTTATTAATTTTCCTTATTTTGGTTTTTCTTAAGTAATAGTAATAAAAAACGCAATAGGTTGCTTTTCGTGTTCTTGAAAGTCTTCTTTCTTTTTCGGCTTTCAATCACTGTTATTGAGTTCATTCAAAACTAATATTTTTAGTAATAAATTAATAGTTGGCTATTACTTGGTCTTCAATGAATGAACAATAATACATTTTTTATTTAGAAAATACCAGAAAATGACCCAGTCTTAACAAAAATTAAATTTGAAAATATACAAAAAAATAGGACGGTATTTTTGAAAAAAAAAATGTGTGCAGGTGGCGCCGTATACATATTATGCGTATATCGCCGGTTACTTAGTTATAATGTGTTTTTTTAACGGTATTTGGTCATTTTCGCGGGGTCAAGATTCGAAATTTTAAAAATGGTTATCAATTCTGGAAATAGTTTTGCGACTTGGACGTCTTTTCCACATCACCACGACTTTCATATTTTTGTAATATCTTTGTTACAGCAGCAGCAGTTTTAGAAATATTTAAAGATTTTGCAATTACCGATTTTTTTCTGATTTTAAATAAATTTCAATTTTTTGTTTAAAATCATTCGAAAAGTGACGGCGACTGGGCACATTCCTTTAAAGGCGATAAAAAGGTATATCAGTGGCGTCCCTTAATGTAGGGAAATTAAAAAAGCTCTAGCCCAGTTTTTGCAATTCGAGTTCAATTTTCTACTTTTTTTTTTGTATGTAATATTTCAAAATCGTCTTCAAAAACGTGCTTTTTTAAATTTTAGTCAGTAGCGTTATTAGGTACCAAACTTTCATTTTTTTATGCCCTCTTGCGTTCATTGTTTTCAAGTTTTTTAAAAGGCCTCACTAATCACTAACAGGATATGCCAATTAGCCTTAGAATATCCTACCTACATGAGTCCTATGACAAATACGGGAAGTGTTGTGAAGGATGAACAAGACAAGACAAGAGCTTATGCACCTCTGTAAAAGAAAGACGCAATATTTTGGGCAAATGCGAACTGGATAATCAAAGGCAAAATGAATAGCAACAGGGGATTAGGAAGAAGACGGATTCCCTGGCTTAAGAAGCTGCGATAATGGACAAATATGACCTCCAAATAATTATTTAGAGCTTCAACAAATAATATTAAATGGGCTTCAAGGAAAAGGCACCTTAAGAAGAAGATCTAATTTCGCTACTCATTTAAATTCAGAAAAACACACAGAAAGAGTCCTCATAAAGTAAATAAACATATTCTCCTGAAAAGTTTGAACTACTCTGTGATCTTATTTAAATGAATTTTCATCAAATAAAAACCATCTCATTCAATTTTTGGCGAAGTTGGTGTTGGATTTAATGTCACCTTTAATTCTAGGCACCTACGCGGGTCAATTCGCGATGGAAGGTTTCCTGAACCTTCAATGGTCGCGGTGGAAGCGCGTGCTGCTTACCCGAAGCATAGCAATAGTGCCGACGTTTCTTTTAGCCTTTTTTAGTAACATAGACGATCTGACCAGCATGAACGACATCTTGAACGCGGTCATGAGTATGCAATTACCGTTTGCCACGATACCTTGCATAGCTTTCACGAGCAATCCTCAAATCATGGGCGAATTCGTCAACGATTCGTGAGTACTTTCGACTTGCTTAACGATCGCATATCGAATAATGTTTTCAGTGCCAACAAGGTCGCGTCGATCTTGCTCAGTTTTATCGTTATATCGATCAATATTTACTTTGTCGTATGCACCGTCAACGAGTTCGATCTTTACTGGCTGCCCTTAACGTTAATATCCATCGTGGCCTTGCTTTATATTGTATTTTGCGTGTACCTCGTACTGCACATGGCCGTTTCCATGGGAAACACCCGCGTCTTACAGTACGATTTGGTGAAAAAGTTGGTCGTCGGGCCGGTCGAAGGCAACACGTTGGTGCATCCCGCCAGCTATTCAAGGTAGAGTTATTTTTTAATCTTTATTTAGTGTAAAACGTATCGGTTTGTCAATGGAATGTTAAGCTTCGTTCTCAGAACTATCTCGTATCGCTAGCCAGCATTGATCGGCAGCTTATAAAATTAAAATAAAATTTTTATTTTTATTTTATTTATGTTTGCGTTACGTCGCTGTCGCGTCGTTATGAGAACTTAATGGAATCACTAAGTATAGTATTTCGGTTTTCCTTGAAGAGGGTGATATACTCGGAGAAGAGAGATTGACAAACAAAAGTATTGTCTGCATTGGGATTGAAAAGGAAATTATTCAAACAACAGATAATAAAATAAGCATTACAAAATATTATTTTAAATGTGAAGTCATATTTTATAGTAACAGTTTTTTTTTATGAAATATAAAAGTTTTATTTTATTACTTAAAATAAAACGAACAGATTTTTTTCATACCTAATTGCCTTTACTTAGGTGTAATAAAATGTGATCTTTCAAAACTTCTTGTAATGCTTTATACAGTCCATATATGACATGAATAGTACATAGCTTGTTTGCTAGTACCCAACAATTTTTTTTTTAAATCAATCAGAAAACGGTTACAAAAACTTGGAAACACTGAAAATGCAAACTGCAGTCACTCCTTAACAACAGTGGACTATCGAGAAAGAGCGCATATACCCGCTAAGGCGATTTTATCTTTGTTCTATTGGCTGGTAAAGATTGCATAATAACAGACCCTGTTCTCTTTTTAAAATGTAAAAAAAAAATCTTTTAGAATTAACAACCGACTGCCCTTAAGTTTGATTTATGTAGTCATCTTATTATTATAAGAGAACGGAAAAACGTTTGTAGTAAGAAAGTAATAACTTGTTTTTAACATAATTCCGTTTCAAACAAATACGAAATACATTAAATATTAGGAAAAAAAGAACATCGTTGATGTTTTAAAGTGACTAAGACTAATAATTTACAAACAAATCAATATCAAAATATTGTCAAACGTACGAAAAGTTTTGATTTCTTGTGCCTTTGAAAACGCATTTTTTTCTCTGAGTGCAAATTGGACATCACAAACGCCTAATAATTTATTACAAAATACATATTATTATTAAATAATGATAGTTAACGCTTGACAATAGCAAGATGTTTTTGATCGAATTCGACTAGTCAATTAAGAAGTTCTTAATTGACCAGCCCCAACACCAATCCAGCTACACTTTTCCTAGTTGAATTTATTTTAACTTTTTATGTTACTTATATATTTTTTATGTTATAGGCTTTATTTAGTATTTTTGGAATTTTTTGAACGTTTTGCTGCGTTCCGTGTCTGGGCTCATTCGAAAAAAAAAATATGGTGCTGTTTGTACCGTAGTGCACCCCAATAGCGCATAATTTGGATTGTATTTCGTTTTTTTTTTTCTATTTATTAAGGACACTTTTGTAGAAACGCAGTTGTTAAATGAAAATCGTTATACTTACCAGTATCACTATGGTAAGAGTCCGGGGTCCCAGAATGAGATCTTAGTCCAATTATGGTGGAAAACTGGTACATGTTGTTGGCTTAATAGTCAACGCGCGAGAGCGTTCTTTTTTTCCCAAAATTTAGTTTTGGTGCGTTTATTAGATATAAAAAGCAGTAATGCGACACGATAGACTGCTAGTAGTATGAAAATTAAATTAAAGAAAACAGAGAAATCTTGAAGCATGAAGCAGAAAAGCCTTTTCCTAAAAAGAAATCAAAAAATTCTAAATCAAATAATAATATTAATACCAAATAAAAATAAATAAGAGGTTTAAATCAAAACCGAACACTGTTTATAAGGATTGTTTCTTATTTCTTCCACTAAAGTCTATTTCGTTCCATGTAAAGTCAACGTACCCATTATTATGTATTTGAAAGCATCATATAATTATAGATAACAGATATTACCAACAACTACAAATGTTAAAGTTAAAGTTAATTTTTCAAATAAATTTTCCCAGGCTACTGTAATGCAATTTTAAATCCTTTCACTTAATTAAACAATTAAAAACCATGACATTAGACGTAGAGTCCCTCTTTTTCAAAGCCCCCGATTCCTCAAACTCTCAACTTAGATATATTAAAATCACCTAGAATCAAACCTTCTTATTTCAATGGAACTAATTCGAACTTTTTATCTTCCATCTAAAACCAAAATTATAGAAACGAGATTTTATTTAGTCTCATGGTCAAGAATCCTTCTGAAATTTTCAAAAAATCCGAGAATCCATAGAAATCCATAAACAACCAAATAATCTTAATGGCACCAATATGGGAGTCAGTCAGTTTTGCTTAACTTCTGAAGAAGCGCTAACAAATTGATTGGTGAAACGTTAGCAAGTTCGACTCACCAAAAACCGACGCAGGAGGAAACCAGATTTGTAAGCAAATACGATTCTCAATGGAGTTGTTTTATTAGGATTAGTAATAATAAACCATGTATTGCTTGTCAATTGGTATCGCTGGCGACGCGACGTAGTTCTGAAAATGCGTTTTTAGGTGGTTGGGTTAACTTGCTTTCCGTGTCGGTGGTGTCGACGAGCGGCAAAATCTTAACCCCACTTTTTTATTTTCGACAGCATGCAACCGTCTAACTCGAAATCGGGAAATTTGGTCTGGGTGGATTGTTAAGGTCGAATTGATTTTGCATTGGGCACAACGGAGGCTAAATAAATCGCGTTTTTCATTGTTTAGTTCGAGTCGCAATCGGGAGGGCTACAACTCTGCAATGGAAATCGATAGGTTTTAGTTTATCAACAAATCGAACCTTACGATCTCATTCGAGTCTCATGTCGTCACCGTTACTTTTTATACAATTTTATAAAGCTTTACTCAGATATAAAATAAGTTTAACGTTGTAGTCTAATCCAGTCTTATCACGCAAGCCAAAGATTACTAATTATGTAGAAGTAGCAAAAACAGTGGGAGTCAGTTTAAGAACTGTACAGGAAATTTTGGATAAAATAAAATAATATTCATAATATAGGAATACTAAAAAGTATAAATGAAGTAAACTGTTTATCGTTATGTGCTACTTCGACATCCAGTATTCATTTTAGATCCCACGAGTCCCTTTTTTATTTTGTTGCAGTACTATATTTATGCCAAGAGGAAATACGTAGTTTTTTAAAATTCTTTGAACTAAATGCTGAGTTGTCTAATAGAAATTTGGTATCAGTTTTTCTTTTAGCTCTCTTTTAACCGTTTTCCCGTTCATATTGTCATGCCGCTCCTTTTGACACTTTTTATAGACTACAACAACATTATAGTTAAACAAAATGAAAGAAAAACCAAAGTGTGAAAGTTGATAAATCCTAAAACCCGCTAATATAAGACCGGTTTGGACTATATTTATTCACAAAACAAAGTGACGTAAATTTCTTATCCAGATAGTTGCGACAGCCTGAAAGCGCGTTGGGTTTGATAGTAGAATATTTGCCCATGTGATATTGTACACCATAGATTTTTATATGTTTGTTGCTAGAAATAAGGTAATTTTTCAATAAAACAACTAAAATTACAGATGTTTTAAATATAACCCTGTCAGTGGTAACAATCCCCGCTTTCCTCTCCTTTGCAGTTCACACGCAGTCTCCCCCAAAAAGCGGCGCTTATGATAGTGAATTAAAAAAAAAAACATTTACAGTCATTTAATAATTCCTAAGAGGTTCCAAGTTGTGCTCTTTCCTTAAATGCACATTTCTGTCGTAGTTATCCCGGAACCTCTTCTCGCAGTAGTCGCATTTGATGGGTTTCTCGCCCGTGTGGGTCAACAGGTGCCTCTGCAGCTTGTTATTGAAGGCGAACACTTTCGGACACCTTGGGCACATTAGCTTCTTTTCCGGTTTCTTGATCTTGATGTTCCCCACGTCGTGTTCGAGCTTAAGGTGTCGACGCAACGTCTCCTTTTTCTTGTAGTCCTTGTCGCACAGGTTACATTTGAACAGTCGCTCGTTGGAGTGGCTCAGTAGGTGCATCTGCAGGTCGATCTTCTCGACGAACCGTTTCTCGCACAAATGACAGACGAACGGCTTGACGCCCTCGTGTCTGCGCATGTGCTTTATTAGGTTGTTGTTTAGAGGGAACTTTTTTCCGCACACCGTGCACACGAACTTCCACAGCGCCGGGTCCAAGTGCATTTGGAGCTTGTGCGTCCTAAGATAGTTTTGCCGTTAGCTTTCTATGGTCTACGCAACACCTACACATCACAAGGCCGCGAAACGCTAAAGTATGAGTCATCACATTGAGGAGCTGATAAAATCCAGTCAGAGAAATTGTGAGGTTACGTCGTAGCATGACATCTTTACCTAATTCATTACTGGATGTCGTAAATTGACACAGGAATTTTGTTTGTCAGTGTTTCTAATCGTTATTTATGATTATGCTAGTAATATAGCTGACATACGAATCATTTTTGATTACGTCACTACACGTCTTCATAATATCAAATATAGAGGATAAAAACTATACGTTTTAATTGCTCTATATTATTTTAATGTTTAAAACATACTACAAATATGTAGAATAGGCAAATTTATTTTCTCACCAAGCATGATTTTTTAGGAAGAGGCACTTTTTTTCGTGAACAACATATTTTTGCAAGTATTTTTGATAATCCCGCTTATTTTATTATGACTAAGTAATATAAGTTTTAAGGAGCACTCGAGGAAGCATCGCCATTTTTTGAATGTTGCATTGTTTTCATATACTCTTGCAATATATTTTTTCATACTATTCTTTAGCAGTACTTTATTTCCACGCAGTGTGTTTCTAAAACTGAATCACAACTTCAACTTTTAAATAAGTACAGGTTAGTCTATCTACGACGCTCGTATACCTTCTTATCTCATTCAATATGACACTGAGGAAAAAAAGTTAAATGCAAAAAGTATATGACTAAGCATAAATTTTATTTATAGTATTTTTATGCATACAGGGTGTTCCGTTGTGCCAGGACAGTAACCAAATTTTTTTAAATGTTTTTTTCTAATGAACAATGTATCATTTTATTGCGTCAAATCATATCACAAATATGTGCCTTAGGTATTCAATATTTCTTGATTTTTGGAAGAATGCCAATGAGATTCAACATCAAAAAATTTAAGACCAATGAGCATCTATCTACTGTATCGAAGATTCTAGAAATAAATATGCAAGAACAAGATTATCCCGGATGCACAGTCTGGTTTTCTTAAATCTTTTGGTAGTGTTATTAAGCTTACTAAAATAACTGATGTCTTGTTTTATAGCAAAGGTTTTGATACTGTTGATTTTAAAACTGTTGCTCCTATTCTTTGTTACAAATCTATAGTTGACGCATTACCTTTCTGGAATGACACCATTATTGGTTTTTTTGTTTAATATCAGCCAAAAAAAAAGAAAAAACACTTTTCGTTTCTGCTTTATAACAATCAATGCCGGTTTTCATTATGTGTCGTTCAGAAACATGTATCTCTTAATAATTACGCTCACGATTGCCAACTGCTGCAAATCAAGTATTTCATGCAGCTACAAAGATTATCGAAGACCTAAATTCCATATTCGAAATATCTTCCGCTCATAACCTTAAGCTTAATGCCTATGGCCATGTTATTTCGACTACAATAACAGTTAACAAAAAATGAGGTTGATACGGAGTTTAAACCCTAAGCAACAAATCTGCGATACACCAAACATGTCAATTATTGGCTTCTATCGACTGCTTAAGAAACCCTCGCGAAAAAATAAAACCCATTATTTCACGATTCTCTGCCAGTCGTTAATTATATTCATATGCTAATTTAGTTTGTGCCCGGGCTTTAACGGCGAGGGATATTAACAGACTCATTATTATTATTATACGCAGACAGAAACATCTGAAGATTAAATCTGTGAGATACCTTCACCTCCTCAATATTACATAATATTAAAAACCACACAGCCTTCTCATTTACCTTTTGGGGGTTAAGTTTAAAAGAACCTTTTTTTGTCATGCTTAAATTGTAAAACGTCTTGCTTTCGGGATAATAAAATTGGCACTTTTGGTCCATACTTGCAATTCCCCTTACATACTATTTACAAATCTTACAAAAAAAATCCTCTTATCTTTATCTTTATAAATTTATATATATATATATATATATATATATATATATATATATATATATATATATATATATATATATATATATATATATATATATATATATATATATATATATATATATATATATATATATATATATATATATATATATATAATAATATATCTCGCACGTTCATTTTCGATAATACTGTTACTTTTAATTTTTCACTTTGTCAGTGTCAAACGCCGCAATCAAAACGTTTAAACGAACATATCACATCCAATATCTAGGGCCATTTAATCTCCTTTTCGTGATGACTCACCGATTGCTTACAGTATGTCGTTTCACGTTCTTATTGAAGAGATAGCGTTATAGGCTACACCACATATATAATATCAAAGAACATAGAATAATATTCCTACGTATTTAAAAGCCTATATTTAATTCATTTTTGAACAATAGTTTTTATAAAAGTGACTTTTTAAAAGTGAAAAGGTGGTTTTGGATATTGGCATTACAAAAGCTGAATGCTGCAATACTGCAAATTTGGCGGTTTAAATTTCGAAATGTAATTTCTTGTGTATGTGGACAAATCGAACACCTATTTCATGGTTTGCTTATTTTCTTTTGTGTATCTATGTTCGGGCGAGTGTCCACAGTAAGTAAACGTGCCCATCAAAAGCAAAAAGAATTATCTATGGCAGGTTTTCATCTTCAGAAGTGTGTCAAGTTTGTTTAATTTACACTATAATCTCACACGCCATTTGAGGCAATTATTTTCTTCTACCTTACGTGGTTACCAAATGCCTATATTTCCATCACAACAGCAAATTTACGAATGACTTATGGGGTCTCTTTAAGGACGTCTGTGGTCGGCACTTACCGTAAATTGCTGTGAGTTTTGAAGCAACGCTCGCATTCGCCGCACTTGTACTGCCTAATGACTTCATGTATCTTGCTGTGCTGCCACAGATCATTGGACGATATGAAACTTTTCCCGCACGCCGAGCAAACGTAAGGCTTCTCGTTGGTATGTTTGCGCTTGTGAATCGCCAAATTGTGGTTGCTAAAGTATTTCGCGTCGCACAGGTCGCACTTGTAAGGCTTCTCGAACGTGTGTTTCGACCTCACGTGTATGGTGTACTTGTCGGTCCGCGTGAATGCGAGCTCGCAGTACTCACACTTCTGAGGTTGTTTGTTTTTCCGCAGGCCCCTTTTCTTGCCCAACATCATCTTTCGGACGTCCTTATTCTCTTCCTCGCTGGAGTAGTTGCTGCCCGTCTCCGCGATATCATTTTCAAACTCTTGCAACTCATATTTCTCCGGTATTTCCAGCTTGTAGTCGCCGTTATCTAATTCAGCCTCTTCTTTCAGGTTTACGTGGCTCGATTCCTGTTTGACGCTCCTTTTGGGCTTGACGTGTATCCGGGTTATGTGAAGGTTCAACGTTCTCTTTAGTTTGAAACCTTTACCACAGTCATCACACACGAAGGGAGCCGATTCCTCGATTTTCACTTCTTTGAGCTTGAGTTTTTCCTTGCGGTACTCTTCGTTTTTCAAACAGGTCTGCACGAAATCATAAGCCGCGTCCAGCTTCTCGACGCAGTCGTTGCACAAATTAAATTCCTCGCACCATACCTCGTTCGGGGCGAAAATTTTCAGTTTGTCTACGTATTGCAGGTCGCCTTGATCGCGATCCATCACCCGTTGAAAATACAAGCATTGTTTCAGGCAAACGCAACACGTAGCCAAAACATTCGGCATTTTGCATTTGTTTATAGCCCAGGGTATGTAAACATAACCAATAAAAAGATGGCGTTCTCGGTAGTTCAAATGTACTTTGATTTTATAACGAAAAGAATAACCTCGACAAGTAATGGCAATGGACGAGTGTCCCAAATAAAATTGCGTAAGAAGAAGAAGAAGAAATTTTGAAATTTTTTATTTCAAATTTGGAGGTCGATTCTGTAGTGGAGCATTGCACGCGGCGGTTTAACCTCCGTTCGCTCGCCCAAAAAGTTTGATATCAGTTTCCACGGGGTGGATTTAGTGTTTTGAGTGTTTAGTGTACGATTAAAGTGATAATCGTCGTCGGCCCCGTCGTTTTTCCCTGTTCACGCCGGTATGGAGGCCGGATGGGCCCGGATGGTCCGCGGTGGAAGCGGGGGGAAGCCGATTTTTTTGGTATCGGTCAAAATCGTTTTTTGCTAGCTGAGCAAATTATTGGTTATTTTTCTTCTTTGTACGTGGTGGTCAATGACCAGAAACGAAAATCCTCGACGGAAGTCGGCAATGGGCGAATGATCCTAGCAGTCGAGCCCAACATTTTTGTGAAACGCATAATTACAATTACATTTCTTCGGCAATGGGCGAATGATCCTGGTAGTCGTGCCCAACAGTTATCTGTGAAACGCATCATTGAATTGAATTGAATTACATTTCAAATTTGGACGTTAAATTTGGTATCTTCTTCTTCTTAGAGTGCCGTCTTCAGTTTATTGAAGGTTGGCAACAATCTCGGCGAATGTCTGTCGATCTTGAGCAGCTCGAAGTAGGGAGTGAGCATCCATTCCTGTCCAATCTCTGATGTTTTTTAACCAGGAATAGTTTCTTCTTCCTATGCCCCGTTTCCCCTCAATCTTCCCTTCCATTATCAATTTCAAGAGGTCATATTTACTTCCACGCATTATATGGCCCAAGTAAGCAGTTTTACGTTTCTTGATTATGTGCAACATTTCTCTATCACTCTGTGCTTGCCTCAGCACCTCCTCGTTTGTTATATGAGCTGTCCAGGGTATTCTGAGAAGTCTACGGAGTGTCCACATCTCAAAGGCTTCTAATCTGTTAATGGTGCTAACCTTCAAAGTCCATGCTTCGCAACCATACAATAACACCGGGTGCACATAGCACTTTACAAATCTATATCGGAGTTTTATATTTAGGGTGGGATTACACAATAACGACCGCATCAGGTTAAATGTTGTTCTTGCCTGTTCAATTCTGGATCTAATTTCCACTTCCGGATCTAGGTTGTTACTAATCCAGGTCCCCAAATATTTGAATTTTTCTACCATCTCTATTCGTTTCCCATAAATACTTATATCTATTGGTGGTTCTGGGGTTTTTGACACTATAAGTATTTTTGTTTTAGCGGTGTTTACTTTAAGTCCGTATCGATCTCCGACTGCAACGAGTTGATTCAGTAAGCGTTGCAAAGCTTCAGGACTATCTGCCATTATCGCGGTGTCATCCGCATATCTGAGGTTGTTAAGCGTTTTACCGTTGATCTTAATCCCATCACTTGTGTCCTTTATTGCTTCTTCAAAAATGCGTTCAGAGTATAAATTGAACAGCATTGGAGATAAAATACAGCCCTGTCGTACACCTTTCTGTATGTTTGTTGGCTCAGTTGTTATATTGTTGTATTTTACTATGGCTGTTTGATCAAAATACAAGTTTTTGATGATTGTAATATCGTTTTTATCTAGACCTTTTGCTTCCAATATTTTCAGTAGTTCCACGTGATCTACACGGTCAAACGCCTTCTCATAATCTATGAAGCATGCATACACCTTCTTTTGTTGGTCTCTACATTTTTGAAATAAAACATTCAGGCCAAACAATGCTTCTCGAGTTCCCATACCTTCTCGAAACCCAAACTGTGACTGGCCTATATCCTGCTCGCATTTCCTGAATATTCTTGTGTGGATGATTTTAAGGAACAGCTTGAGAAGATGGCTCATTAAGCTAATGAGTCTATATTCATCGCATCTTTTTGCGTTTGTCTTTTTCGGAATTGGTATGAACTCTGACTTAAGCCATTCTCTGGGAATCACACTGGTGGAATAGATTTCGTTGAAAAGTCGAACCAGCGTATCTATGTGTTCTTCTTCCAAGAGTTTTATTATTTCTATGTGGATTTTATCTGGTCCAGGAGCTTTTCCTATGTTGCTGTTCTTTATTGCTTTCACAACTTCCTGTTTTAATATTTTGGGGGAGTCCTCTAGTTCTCTGGTTAATTTGAATCGGCGTGGTTCTATGCTTTTAAACAATTGCTCTATATAGAATTTCCAGTGTCTCTTGATGTCTTCAATATCCATCACTAGCTTGTTGTTTTCGTCAAGTAGGGTATTTGTGTTATTTTTCCTGTTTCCTCCCACTATTTCCTTTATTTTCTTATGTACAGCAAAATGATCGTTCTTCCTTTCCAGCAGCTCGACCTCCTCACATTTTTCATTCATCCATTGTTCTTTGGCCCTTCTGATTTTCCTTTGAATGTCTTTATTGATTTCTTTGTACTTCTGTGGATTTTTGTTTTTGTGCTTTCTTCTTTCATCCATTGCCTGTAGTATTTCATCTGTCATCCAAACTCTTCTCTTCCCTTTGTCTTTGGTTCCAAGTTCCTCCCTTTCTATGTTACTTAGTATATTTTGTATTTTATTCCATTGTTCTTGAATATCAGTCATAACATTGCTAGTTATTTGCGAAAATTCTTCGTTTACACGCAGTCTGACCCTTTCAAGCATGGCAGGGTTTTTCAGATTTTGGATATCAACAGCTGTGGCGGAGGGCTTTTGAAGCCTTTTTAGTTTTACATGTATACCACCGATTAACGGGTTATGATCACTGTTTATATCAGCTCCGGGATATGTTTTAACTCCTTGTATGGCATTTCGGTACCTATAATTTACTAGAATAAAATCTATTTGGTTCCGGACAGTATTGTTTTTGTTGTGTTGAGGTGATTGCCAAGTGTAAAGTCGACGTGGGGGTAACTGAAACCAGGTATTCGTGATTACCAAGTTTTCCTCTTGACAGAATTGCACTAGAGTATCTCCTCGTGTATTTCGCTGCCCTAAACCGTATTTTCCGACAACATTCTCTACCTCTCCTTCCCCCACTTTGGCATTGAAATCGCCCATGATTATATTGACTTCAGACGGTTTAGTATATCTTAAGAGTTCTTTAATCTCACGATAGAAGTTTCTGATTTCTATGTCTGGTTTATCCGCTGTTGGGGCATATACCTGTATTATGTTAATGTCTACAGGGTACGATTTCAACTTAATAAGCATTGTCCTGTCAGAGTGTGGAATAAATGTGATTACCGATTTGTCAATATTCTGTGATAATATAATAGCAACTCCGTTTTCGTGTTGTTGATGATCATTTCCTGAATAGTACACTGTGTAGGAATTTGACTGGATTTTGCCACTATCTGGCCATCTTACCTCGCTGACTCCGAGGATATCTATTTTCAATCTTTGCATCTCCTTGATTGCATTGTTAAGTTTCCCAGCCATGTACAAACTTCTTACATTCCAGGTTCCGATTCTCATTTTTGCCTTAGATTTATTTTCCTTAGATTTATTTTCCACTTGCGGGTGGGACCTCCTCGCGGGTATTCTTAGCACCCCTTGGCTATTTAAAGCCTGCCGCGGACTAGGGGCCATTGCCTTATTTGTTTCCGCCATGATTGTCTGTCTTGGGATTGGATTAGTGTAGTAGTTTCCCCTGGCTTTCTACACCGCTGTACAAACGCCGTTTACATGGATTCCATTGCGCCGTTTGCTATCTGAGCCACGGCCATGTAGGTCAATATGGATCGATGCCCGTGTTCAGTTTTGAGACAGCCAGCTGCCGCCGCTCAGTGCTAGTTTTGGTCCGCCACGACTATTTGATTTCATCGTTACCACCCATATCTGGGAGGCGTTCCCCTATCCGCCACCCGGGGAGGCGCCCGATGGGGGACTAGCAACCCCGCACGGGAAATTTGGTATGGTATTGTGATTTTACGAGGTATTTTGTAATTTGCGATGTGTGTGTGTTTGTTACTGAAAAAGCCACAAATTAAAAGAAATAGTATTCGCGAAAACGTGTAAATAGTTTAGATCATGTCCGGTAGTTATGTACAATGATTTCTACGTAATAAGGATAGGACACCGTGAGATCTACGATGTCAGCATTTGGCCACGATGGTACTATGAAGAGACCATAAGATTCACATTGTCAGCTTTTCGTATACGAACCTATAAAGTCTTAGTTTTAAGTAATATGATTATTCTTGTTGTAACTGCTGCTGCAGAAGCTCTTAATTTTCGATTGTATTTTGAAAATAAAGTTTTTAAAAAGTCACCTCGTCTTCGCTTGAACATAATTGGCGCAGTCGGTAGGATTGTGCCCTCGGAATTCGGAAAACGAAAAAGCAGAGACAATTCGCGTGTGTACGTCGCATCGTGCGGAAAAGTGACACTTACCGAATTAGGCTACCCTGAGGAGTGGTTTCAACCGCTACAGCGCAATCCAAAGAACTTGTTGGCGAACCCAGAGAAGACTCTCGTAGGCAGTGTGCAACAAAGGATCGGGGAAGGGAAAACCGTAAGTGCGATTTTTTCCTTTCGCCCCTTTAAGATCCTCCGTTAAGGCTTTTAATAGGGATAAATTTAGGCAAGACGTATCGGACGTCAAGTAGTTAGGGAAACAATTTTTTTTTTAATCGATCAATTTTTGATGTTAAATTGTGAATCAGAAACAAGCTGCGAATATTTCAAAGCATTAAGTAGTGACGTAGAATCTAAAATTAGTGAAATTTTCAAAAATCTAACGTTTAGTGAAAAAAAATAACAGAAAAAATGACAGAACAAGTAAATTGGAATTTATTTAAATCAAAATTGCAAAACATTCAACCTTACGAAGGTGATAGCAACACCTTAAATAAGTTTATCAACAGATGCGAAAGCTTAATTAATGGTTACGCTTCCCTTGCAAATTCGGAATTAAATAAACATATTTTTGAATGTATCCAGGAAAACTGGTA